TAGGGACGCGCTCTTACGGCTTAAAGCGACCGAAGAGCTAAAACAAAGAGTCTGATCAAACTTCACGCCAGGCGAGGTGGGAAGTTTCGAGGCTGTTTTGGCTACGTGGTGCCCACGGATGCTGGAGAGCGTGGGCAGGTACCTCAGCGCCAGCGAAACGCGGCAGCAGGGGAGCAGCCAGCATGCTGTGTGCCACGCGTCCCACTTGCCCACAACAGTTAGGGTGCCAACGTGAAAATTCTTAGGCTGTTTAAAGCATTGAGATACAGGGTTTTCTTCTGTTGTCCTGTTCATCCAGGCAGCAACAAGCAGTGGCTGCTGCTGTCAGTGTTGAGCAGGGTCTAGGCACCTTCTGGGCAAGTAATTACAGAGATTTGGTTTTACAGGATAGGTGACTTTGGATGAGAACTGTGAAAGTTCTCCGTAAGGCGTAAAGCCTAGTAAGGCCATGTTTGGGGGATGATGCACGGCAGTGGGAAGGCAGACGGGTAAATTGAGGGCCTTGTGTTGTAGTTTTGGTGACTTTTTTCCAAGCTGTGCATGCTATTTTCTTTATGTATTTGCCTATTGGTTCTTGGTTTGTTAGTGTAAACGGGGTGCCCCAGTCTGACCTGCATCTCCACTCGGTGCAGCGGGTGACGGAAGCAATGCAGGCAGGAGATGTTTTGCCAGTATTTTAAACAATGACAGGTTTATTTTCTTACCTCACATGTAACACGGTAAAGACAGTCTCTTAACTTAGTGTTTCATTAATAAATAATCAGCGACACTGTACCACCCACAGCCCTGCAGGGCTAGCGGGTCCCATACGAAGAAGAGCAGAGAGAAATGAAATCCCGACCAGTCGGTTCCAGCGCACCGAAGGTAAGCGCTTCTCTAAAATGTGCATGTCCAAACCTCTCGGTTACTGGTGGGTTGAGAAGTCCAGAAGAGTCTGTGTCCCAGCTGGGTTGGAGGTTTGAGAGGAGGAGGAGTAGCGCTGAAGTACTCATTAGCTGGTCACTTCACAGCTCAGGACAATGATTCAAATAGAGCATAGATTCAAGCGACACTGTAAATTAGTCTTCAAGGCTTTTTGTTTTAAAGTTAGTCCAGCCCCGTGATGGTAAACTCCAGGCAGATTCACCAGCAAGGGAGCTGCAGAACCCAAGCATAATCCTGTATGTTTCCTAGCAGTAGTTTTAAGTGTAGAATCTTAGGCCATGAGGAAACAGAGACTTGACATCATCTGTTTGCATAAACTTTGTTTCTATAGTCTTTTGTATCTATAAATATGAAATTGGCAGCATGGGCAGTAATGGTCTGCATCCTTGAAGATCCTCATGAGCAAAGGCACCAAGCAGCATCCAAAACAGCACCTGCAGCCAAAGAGGAGACGGGCGTGCACAGAATGATTTACTGACTTTTCTTTCTGCTGGCTACTTCTGTTCTTTCTCTCTGCCTTGTTCTGTCTGCCTTTTCGCTGCATGAACCCACTTCTTTCCTAAGACTCTTGCTACTTAAAGTATCTTCTGAAAGATTGTCTTCGCTGCTAACATCTCATGCATTAGTCTGATTCTGAGACTGATTTGAAACTACGGTAGGGAAGTAGACTGTGTTGTACCAATTTTTGCTTGTCTTATGAAAAGTAATAACATACTTGGTTAAATTCAGCAAGTTTGCATCCCCTGTAGCCATGATGACTGTATCTAGGATAGACAGAATGACTTCTTACCAAGCAGAGAAGAAGGGTAAACTGTCTATGTAAGTACTAGCTAGAATTTTTTTTTTTTAGTGGCGCTCTCTGAACCTTCTGCTATGACGAGCTTTAAAGTATACACGAAAGCTTACCCAACCATACACAAGCTGGTGCACAGAAGGTAAGACAGTCTGCCCGGTCTGTAGGTGACCTGGGTGGTGATGTGCTGACGGCAGGAAGGGCATATTGTGGATGTTGGTTTGCTTGAGAAGATTCCTGCTACGATGATTGGAGGCTGAGACACCAAGTAAACTGAGTTCAAGAGGAAATGAGAAAATTAGAAGCACAGGAAATCTTTAACAAGTTACAAACTCTTAATTGGGGAATGTAGGTTCTTAACATGGCTGATCTAGAGGCACCTATGTTGCTGTTATTGATTTCAGGAGTGTTCATGAGAAGCAGTGTACTGCTTGTTCTATGTATCCCAATAGATTGCTTCTACCAGCAGCCAGTATTTACTGGGATAAGGACATACACAGGGAAATGCCTGAGGGATAATCCCCATAGGCAGGCAGTCCCTACCACCCTCGGGCAGATATACTCCTGACATTGAGAATTTATCTTCTGATATTTACAATGATATGAAAATGCATGTTCTGCCTGAAGGAGAGATTTGAAGGATATAGAGGAGCTTTCTGGATCATCTTCTCAGTAGTTACAAGAAATGCATCAAAGTAGTTATTCTAACGTACAAATGTCATCAGTCAGATGCTGATGCTGTCCCCAGTTAGTAAAGGCTGTAGCTTCCCTCGTGTCTTTTCAGTCTGGACCTGACTCTGTCATACTCCTTGAGGGGCATGTCCCTCGTAGGTACATGAAGGGTATTTTTTCAGAAATGTTTTCAGTGAAAAATGCCATTTTAAGCTTCCTGAAACAAGTTTAGGGTACGTTCATGCTGTAGCCTGAAGCAAAACTTCAGGAATGGGAAGGTATTGTCTGTTAGACAGATGGGATATAGCATATCTGAGTTTAATTGTCTTCTGGTCTTAGGGATTTTAAAAAATTTATGTGTCTCCTTTCCTCCTGTAAGAGATGTTATTTGTCTGTTCTTTGAAGCCTTTCCTCAGTGTCTCCTATGAGCTTCTCCACTTCCATAAAGGTGGCTAGAACAGGAACAACAAATTACTCTAGACTTGAAATGATTTGTTCTGAAAGTCCTAGCTCCTAGCTGGTTTTAAAAAACTGGGTGCTTCTGTAGATTGGCTAGTGCTGGGAAAACAAGTCTCAGTCTCTCATCTTAGCTTATCTGCCAACATTTCCAGGGAAATTTGTTGATTTTAAAACTAATAACATTTCACTTTTGTTAGCACGTAGACCCACCAGCATTGTCAGAAACACAGTCCCCTGACACTTACCTGGTTGCTCAAGGGTGGCTGTTTCTCCACAGGAGTAAGGTGGGGGAGGAGGATACTCATAACCCCCTATGCAAAGAAAAACAGGGCAAAATGTAAAAATGCATACAGCTTATGCCTCCCGAAAGCCCTGTTCAGAGTCTGGTGAGAAGCTGCATGGTGAGGTGCCTCGCAGGGGAGGCCTGACACGGCTCAGTGAAGTACAGGACAGGGAAGAAATACTGCTGGATTGATTCATGGGGTTTTAAAGCCAAAAGAGCTTGCGGTGACTAGCTCATCTCACTTTTTGTGTAACATAAACTGAGAAACCAAATCACTTTTTCAACACAAATTCAGTAGCTGCATGTCTTCCACCGTAACGTTGGAATGATATGTGGTCTTAATTGAAGGACTCTCTTGATAAAGGATCCACTCTGACTAGTTTCAGTGGCTACTACCCTTACTATTAGTATCTAGAACCTTTGTTCTAGTTTGAATTTTATCTGCTTTCAGCTTCCAGCCAAGTAATTTCATCATACCCTTTGTTCTAGAAAAAAGTTAAAGATCTTTTTCCTTTTGTTGTGGGTAAGGGATAAGGGAAGGTGGTGACTAAGACACCTCTTGCTTTTTTAGTTCTTTTACTGATGTTACAAATTAAGAATGCAGTCAGCCTACCTGAGCGTGAAATGAATGAATGTACAAAAAAAATGCATTCATGAATACATTCAAAATAAATTTGCGTATGAAACTTTACAGCCAGCTAGCATGGATGTGGTGTCAAACCACCAGACTGGTCTGCAGCAGCAGGAAAGTCCCCACAAGAAGTCTTGTTTGGTCAAGCCCGCACAGAGTCAGAGAAGCCCTCACCCCCAAGCAGAGCAGCCCTGCCATGGGACTCCAGCCTGTTCTGCTGAGCCTTTCAAAAACAATGTGAGTCCAACCAGGGAATAAGGCCATGGGGATACTAAACTGGAATTTTCTAGAGTGAGACAAAATACAGTGGGTAAGTTTCAAAAATGCTAGCCGTGTTCCCTTGAATGGCCCACCAGAAGTGGTGGAGATTTGCAATGGCATTTGGGTTTAATGGTGGTGGTGGGGTGTTTAGTTTTTGGAGTCGTTTTTTTTGGAGGGGGTATTATTTGTGGAAAAATGAAATTGTAAAAAATGAAAAAGTAGAGCATTTCCTTCCGATCTGGAAGAGGCGTGTGCTTAGTACGAGTGAGTTACCACTCGACATGTCCTGGTGAAGGGGCTGCTGCCTGTGCAAGGACAAGACACTGCAACTCGGTGTTAGATGTGTTGAGTGCCTGTCCCTTGGTTGAGTAGCTCACAGGTGAGACTTTTTCTTGCTGATCTCTTGAAAGCTCTTCTGAGTTTAGAATGAGGCCAGAGAGGTCTTTGAAGACAAAAATATTTACAGAGAGCTGGTGACAGTAAAATGGTCTGAAAATGAGTCAAGTTTAGAGGCCCAGTGCTGACACATCTATCCTTATTAATCACCTTCTGACTTCCCATTCTGGTTTTTCGCTCCAGTCCTGTTGGTTGAATGGCAATTTGCTCAGTAGCAGGAAGGTAACAAAGGTAAAATCACTGATATCTCAGTGTGTCTTTCAATGAGTGTGGGCTCGAACAGACAGAAGGCGAAGGAGTGTTGTGAGATACTTGTGTAGGTTTGAGAGCAATGCCTAGTTCCAGAGGGAGAAGCCAACCCAGGAGAATGGCAGCTGTTGGTGCCTGCTTGCATTCGTTGAGCTGAATTGTCAGCACTTCGGTCATGAAGTTTCCCAATGAGACAGCAGTGAGGAGGAGTTGTTCATCTCTGAAGAATGTGGCTGCAGAGCCGAATCATCTACGGAGGGCAGCTCTGGGCAGCAGGAGCATTTGGGAAAAGGCCAGTCCTCCAGAAAGCTAGGTTACAATTTAAGCAAGATGTAGCCCATCCACGTACAAAGTTTGCTGGCTGAACGTTTGCTCGTTCGGAATATGAAATTATTGTAGCGAGACAACTGCGATTCCTTTTCCAATAAAGCATGTGTTGTTTGAAAAATTACTAACTAAATGAAGAAAATTATTTTTTGCCCTTGTAAGTGATGTTTCTGTTAGGAGATCCTGCCTGCTTGCCTACCCCAACCCTGGGTTTTATATGCTGGCACAGGTGCTTTCTAAACCCTTCGCATCCTGACAAAGCTGGGTCCCTTACGAGCTGGCTCAGTTGTGCTCTGGAAACCAGCTATCAATGTTGGCCACACAACCAGCAAGAGGGGCCTCTTCCTAACCCCCTCCCGGCAAAGCCTGCTTACCCTCCTGGCTGCAGTACGGTGGTGCAGAGGGTTCTTGCATGTAAGGTTCGCGGTGAGGTTCATACATGATCATAGGGATTTCCACAAGTCCCTTCTCACTAGCCATCTCCACGGTTCACCTGCCAAAAGCAGAGCAAAGTAAGATCTACTGTAAGTGACTTTCAGTGTCCTGTGTTTGTCAGTGCCGATTTCTGCAATTCCTACTTCTCGCACTCTGATTTTACTTCAAGGAAAATTAGCAGTTCTCGTATTCTGGCTTTTTTATAGACTGAAGTGCAGTCTGTTCCTGTTACACTTCATGATGAGGAAGATGGGAAGGGAGAGCAGAAAATACCATCTTTATGTATTTCTTTGTGCTGGAAAGCTAAAACTGATCCCCCAGAAAACACACCATTCAAAGTGTGTAAACTCGTGACTGAAAGTGTTACCTTTGCAGAAAAGTTAACCTAATATTTTTCTATGGATTGTCAAAATAATCAAGGAGGAGAAGAGCACACTTTGGAGGACCTGTGGAAAACCTTCATGTGTCATTAAGTCAGAGCCTGCAACAGTGCAGCCAGTGACAATTTGGATCTGTCTTTTGTCGGGTTATTGTGCAACGTTATCATCATCATTACCATGACCAGTTTTGTGCTGTGAAACTATTGTCTCATCGCTAGTGCAACAGGCTCGTCTTGGGCAAGATCGTTATTAAATATGACTGCACTGCCTGAGGCTCTGAACAAGATCAGGCCACAAAATATGTGTGTTTTTCAGGTGTTAGCAGGAGCTGTTCCTCCCAGTGAAGGAGAGTGGGAGGAAGTGGACACAGCTGGAGATGTGTGTTTGTATTGCTGTAAATGGAATGGTGTTAATTATTCCTGGCTGTCCCCTGAGCCAGTATTAGCTGGTTGATGTCCTACTAAGGCTAACCGTAGGAGTCCTTTGCAGAAGAAAGTTACAGAATTTTGCACAGGTCAGCAAGGAAGGGCAGTTTTGGGGGGAAAAAAGAGCAAAGATGTTTGAGGAGCTGCTAAATGAGTCTGGTGCGCGTTGACTGGCTGCTCAGGTGACTTCACATAGCTCCTTGCAGTCCAGCTACATGTCCTGTGTCGCAGTGCAGACACCTGCCCTGGTTTGGATCAGGACTGCGCCCATCTCACCTACACGCTGGTGATGCGAAAGTGAGGGGTTATATTGTTAAGAAACACTTGGATAAGCAAATCGAGACTGAGAAATGTAACATTCGGCAGGTCGGCACAAGCTGCCTGAATACGTGAGGTCAAACTGGAATAGGAGAGAAAGTGCTGAACAAGGCGAGATGGTCTCAGCAGGTCTGTTTCCAAGGTGTGTTGGAGGGCAATACGTATGGGAGAGGCCAAAAGAGAGGGGATGAGCAGTGCTGAGATAAAGCATCCATCCTTTTAGGAAGGAAGAAAAGGAAGAATTTGAAAATGTCACTGGGGAAGAAGTGATGTAATTTGCAGAAATCTGGATGAATGGGAAGTGGTATGGAAAATGGTAGCAGAATGAATAATAAAGGGAATAGGTAGGATGGTGTGAAGAAAAAAGAAATACAGCCTTGGCTGTGTTAAGGCCAAAGTTGCTAGAGAAAATTGCTAATATAGGTGTTGGAGAGGACGGACGGGGAAAGGTGCATCTCTGTGTACTTGTAAAGAAACTAGAACAGATGATTGGGAATGTCAGAGGCCATTGTGGAAGCTTTGTGAGGATCCCGCTGGGAAGGAAAAAAGAAAAGCTGAGAATCAAGAGAACTTGGGGAGGAGGAAGCTATGGGAGCCAAGGCAGAGTAATGATCTTCAGAGAACAAAGACCGTGTGTCAGTGTAACTGTGGGTCCAGGAGCGTGACAGTAGACAATATTGCATTAGCCAGTGTCAACCAAGGGCTGTTTCCTTGGGACAAGGATCAGCAGGCAAAATTATAGGGAGTCTCTTCAAGTTTTTTGCTTATTGCTATCTTGGCACTTAAACAGCACAGGCTAAATACTAGGTGGTGTCAGTTCGGGTGACACTTCTGCTGAATTCATCTCACTTGCTGTGAAACAGGAAAAAGAGGAAAGGGCTTCTGAATTTCATGCAGTGGCTACAGGCCCAGGCAAAAGGCCTGCGATGAGGCACAGAGTAGGAGGGAATAATAATGGTTAACATGGTGAGAGTGTTGCAAGTAAACACTGACTAATCCTTGCTCCACCTAGTGAGGTATTAGTATAATATCATCACTTAAATGTATAGGACAAGAGATGCAGAAGTAAATCAGCAGTGGAGCAAAGAATAGTGTGGGGGTCCCACTGGATGCCAGGTTTGTGTCTGATCTACGAGAGCTGTCAAGCACAGGCGCTGTGGGCCTTAGGCTATTGATAAAGTTGGTGCCCTGAATTTGCTCACCTGCAGTGCCTTGTTATGCGCTTCTCATAGTGCTGCCAGCAGCTCTGTGTGCTGTGATGAACTGCCCCAGAGCAGAAGAGCTGGGAGAGCTGGATGGGCACCTAGGCCTCAGCTTCCACAGGAGCTTCTTCAGCCTGCCTGGGAGAAGGTACCAGGGGGTTAGAGACCCTCTGGGCCTGAGTGCTGCGAGTGCAGAGGTCCGGGAAAGGCATTCTCTAGGGTGTTTTATGCCACTCAATAGACCCTTTCATTTGGCCTATGAGCGGTTACCCTCAGTTCTTGGTTGCAACCGTGCATGTGATGCCTGAGAGCTCTTTGGGCCGGTGACCCCCAGACCCGCAAGTGTTACTGCCATAGATCAGAGCTAGAGACTTTCCCCTCCTCTCTGATGCCATCATCTGCTGGAGAGGAAGGTACAGGAGAGAACAGGCAGTGTTAGTAGCCCTGCAGGAAAAAGTCGTAAGGAGAAATATCAGGCAGCAGTTCCTGAAGAGTAGGAAAACGTCCTATAAACTCCCCTCCGTAAACCAGTAACATCTAGGAGGCTCACGCTTAATAGCTGGGGGGGGGATGTAAGCTGTCTTCTCTGTAGTGTCGCTGAGCCAGCGGAGCTCTCTGCGAGGGCAGACCCAGCCCTTGTGCACTCCTAAGTGCGGGCTTGGTTTATCTGAGGCGCTCAAGCAACTGCAAACGGCTTGATTTGCAAGCAGAAATATATAGTCCCAGGGATACCGAAACAAGTCTGTGCCTCCTCTCTTCTGAAGTCTCAGTCTGCTCTACATATAGGTATAGCTGGTTTGAACCGGAAAATAAAGCTCACTTTAAGTCCTGTGGAAATTAGCATTAAAAAAAAAAGCAAATCACACCCTGAGGCATATACACAAAGAGCCAATTCAGGGGAAGGAAGGTGGAAATTGCAAAGCCTTTATGTTCCAGGAAGGCCGTATCCTAGGGGAGAATGGGCAGCGGCAGTTTCCTTCATCTTCCTCTGGATTTCCTCCAGGCACGTATGTTCTGGTGTGAAGAGTGGTCGTCATGCAGCCAAGCAAAGCTGCTGAACTGCAGAATTCCACAGCAGGGCCCCGCTCCCTGGCTCTCACCCGCACCTCTGCACGTTCCCTCCCGAACAGCCCTGATGGCTACACGATCCCACAGGTGAGAACAGGTCGAGGTGTGCCTGCAGAGTGCTCTGTAACAGGGAAACCGAGGCACGCAGAGGACAGTCTTTTCAGGAGTTCTGACAGAGCTGTCATGTGGACCCCCATGTAAAGTTCAAACGGTTGCAATGAGAACGATGACTTTCCTCCCATCTTCGTGGTGATTTTCAGGAAGGTATTTCGGGTGCTGCGTGTTCGCAGGGGTGGGCAGAGAGACAGTCCCGTCTGTGCAAATCTTTTTTCACCTTTCAGAAATACTTTTGCAGTTCAAGTTTGTTGGAAATATGCCTTTCCCACAAACACTTCATCAAAGGTGACATTGTGTTGTTTGAAATGGAAGCATTCACGAGCCTGGAGAGTCCCATGGGATTTGTGTCCGTTTTGAACTAGGTGTGGCTCAGCAGAACACAACTGGGAGCTGCTCGACAGTCATTTCAGAAATCTCATTACCTGAGTGCTGATGCATCTTAGGTTTAGCCTTATGAGCCTGTGCCAATGAAGTATTTACAGTTTCATTTTAAAATTGAAGTCCACTGCAGTACTAATTCTTGTCCATTTGGATTCAGAAATTATAGCCTGAAAAGGAGAGGAGGCAGCAGGGACTTGGCAGGTGTATGTGTATCAGAGCCCAGGTAACATTTCCCTTACCTTGGTGTTCTGTTCTGTTGCAGTTCTTCCTCAGAAGTAGATTAACCTAGTTAAAAAAATGATTTGGTACTTCTGTGAAAGCTGATCCAGATCTACTAATTGTCTTTTTCTATTTATTTAACTGAGGATTTTTTTTGGCAAGAAGGTTAGTTATTGGTCTCATAGTGCAGACTCCAAATGAAATTTCTGAAAAGTTTTCAAAAGTGCTTGGCACTGGCCTGTCTCTATCCCAGTTGCAGCATGGAGCTGCTTCCAAGACCCAGACGTGGATGTGACAGCACGAAGTACCTGGCACTCCTGGGAGTGGAGGGGAGAATGTACGGACAGCTTGGATGTGTGAGAGAGGGACTAAAGCTGCGAAGGGCTGTCTCTATGCCCTGTCTGCACTGCAGCTGGCAATGAGGGCTGGATCAGTGTCGTGTCGTCTGGCAGGAGGTCATCATATTTGGCTATCACACTGTGTACCAGGATGGCATCCAGAATCTGGGGCAGAACAGGAACCAGTGAGTTTATAAGAAAAGTGTTAAATCTCCATTCCAACTCTGGCTTATGTCAGCATGGGGTTTGCCACTGACTTCAGTAAGAGTGGGTTCAGAGATGGAAAAAAATGAACGTGGAACTTGGGAGGAAACATTAAGTGATTCAGGTATTTGAAGAAGATAGGGTCATACATTAAAAAGTTTTGTATTTTGGAAGATTAACATTAAAACGTTATAGTAAGTGATCTTCAGATTTCATGGACTTGTGGTGGTACAGCAGTTTTCACCAGTGATCTGTTGGCTTGTAGGATACTAGCCCAAAGGCTTTCAGTTTGCTGTAATGTGTTCATGTTCTCCTGTCATCACTAATTTAATGTTTTCTTGGGCAGTTAGCCCTTCCAGCTGCGTTTATGAGACAATTTCAATTTCTGCTATT